ATTAAATACAGCCAAAGTTAGCCCACAGCAGTTATTGCAGGTCTCATGGCTGGCTGATGCCAAGCTCTACATGCAGCTTTATCTCATGCCTATATGACCCTGGCAGATTTGATGTATTATTTGTAAACTATAATACTCAAAATGGCTCAGGGGGCTGCAGGGAGCAGCACCATGTGCTCCCAGCCAGATTCCCCCTTGTTACAGGTGCTGCTGTTGGCAGGGCCAGCACATGGTTTAGGCACAGGGCAGGACGTGCTTCTGCTGCTGAGTGGCTCTCACTGACATCCTGGCCAGAGCTGTTCTGCCTGCAAACAGCTGTGCTGAATGTTATTCATGTATTTATGTTAAACCACCCACAATTGGGCAAGCTGTGGAGAAAACACCTTCACATGGGTGCCTGGGACAGCGCTGTGGATGTGCAGTTACTGCCTAGTGTCTGTTCTTCTGGGTTTGTAACCAGTTTGCTCCTTGTGGAGATGAAAAGATACACTATTTTTTTTTGGTCTCAGCTGATCCCAGGCAATTTCTTAGAAATTTGTCAGGTGGTTTAGATGCTCTCCTTGCTGCTATCCTGTGTGTATCTCATATGTAGTGGAATGTAGCACCAGTCCTAGGCTAAATGTGATGCACCCCTAGAAAGTGAGCAGTGTCACACTGTTCACACCTCGGAAATCAATTCCCAGTCCTCTGAACCTTCAGTCACATCCCATCTGTCTCCTTTTCCTCCCTGATCCTCCAATCTCTCTCTCAGGGGTTGCCCAGGAGATAGGCAAACCAAAGCCTTGGCAGGCAGCTGGAGCAGATACTCATCAGGGCTCCGTGGTGCTTGTGTGTTCTGGGTGCTGGGAGGAAAGAGAAGCACAACACCATTGTAATAATGAGGTTTCATTCAAGATAAGATCAGATTTTGTCTGGTTGCTGGACAGGCCTTGCCAGATGAGCCAAGTTGTTCTGTCCCATTTCCTGGTGTCCCCGTTTCCTTACTGTAATGTAAACTTCATGCTCAGAAGAAGAATGCCTTGGCAACAGCTCCTGGCAGAACTCAAATCTGCAGTCAGCGTCCCTGGCTGGAAAGGCCTCCACCTGTTCACTGCAAAGTGGGGAAGCTAATATGCCGTATCTGCAGATTTTAGAAACTGAGTACTTCCTCCCTATGGAAAAACTGCTAAATGCTGGTCCCCTGCCAGGGCCTGGAGGTACACCATGAGCTGGGGATGGAGACTTGCCCAGCGATGCCTGGGATTTAAATCCTGTAAGCCAACTTTCTCTGCGTGTTGAGTGGGTAATTCTGGGCACTGGATGCGGTTTGCATCAAGGACTGCTAAAACTGTAATACATTAGTACCATTCCAGAAGCCCTTGAAGCTTATCAACTGCCAAGAAAAATACAGGGATAGCAAGAGATTAGCCTGCTGAAGATCCATGATGAGAGGGAAAGATACTCACCCTGTACTCCCACCCTGTCACATCACCTTGAAGGTTGTGCTAGAGCTTGTGCAGAGGCAGAGGATAAGGAAGGAATTAAAAGTTTAAAGACAAAATTGCTATGCTCTGTAGTTAACCTTGCTTTTAGCCTCTCCTGTGTGTGAACCAAGCCAGCTGAAGGTTAGCAAGGCCTAGAATTGAAAGAATTAAGCCTATCCCTCTTTCTCTTCATGCCTGACTCCAAGGGCAGTTTAAGAGAGGGAGTATTTCCTCACATGAAGAAACTACCCATCAAAAAGGCAACATTACTTCTCAACCAACTCTTTTTGACTGTCTCCCCTCCCTTTGGGGGCTGCTTTGTGATTCTGCTCACTGAGGTCGTGGTCCTTACCATGTTCCTAAGGAAGGACAGATCAAATGAGGGAGAAGTCTGCATAGCAGTAGATCCTCTCGGGTTACTAAACTTATCCACTCTCCTAAATTTAAGTTTGGAGGATTAGTAGTACTTAAAGGAGTACATATCTACCCCTTTACTTCCTCTTTGTCCTCTTCTCCTTCTTCCAGTGACCTCAGGTAACCCAGCTGACTTAGCCTGAAGGTGAGCTGGACCCCAGTAAAGCCATTTCTCCTGCAGGCTGGCTCATTTTGGTAGATTTACACAAGAAAACACACAGTGGAGAGGTACTGGAGGAGCATCAGCAGTCAGGGCTCTCAAAAATTTTAGGTGGACAAATGTGAGAATTTTGTTCTTTACTGTGTATCTTGGTTAAATGGTGGCATGTACAAAACTATTAATACCATTAATGTATGTGCAGGTTTGAGTTCCCTGATAACATCAGTGTTGATCAATTGATACCTTAAGAGTACACACAGAAGTACATTGCAACCCCTAAAAGTTGCTATTTAATGTCTCATAAATTTTTAAATTTATTTTTTAAACTTTTTTTAAATTTATTTTTTTAAACTTTCTAAAGTTCTTAAAGTCCAGAACTTCAGAACTTTTTTAGTACTTAAGTTCTACAAGTTACCAGTTTTACTCATTATCTAAGTTGTTGACCTCCTGACTCTTGGTCTGAGTTGTGTTAAACATGTCATATCATGTTAAGATCTGAGAAGTGTGTTCTTTTAGGGTGTCTGATTAAAAAATTATATAAATAATCCCTTGCCTGATAGTTTCTTACATGACACCATGATGAGATTTTCAGAGCTGAGCAGGAGTTACTCAGTACTTTTTGTCAAATGCTGGTTTTGGAAACTGCTTTTCCACCTCCCTTTTTCAAATCTCAGCCAGTGTAATTAGTTGCATGTAATGATAAAACAATGCATAAAAATCTTGCATTTTGGTATGTGAGGTAGGCGAGGTCATATGTGTCACTTAAAGAACTGTTCATGTTACTCTACTCTCAGTTCCATTCCTGTGTGTCATCAGCTTGTGCTAAAATCAATATTTGCCAGGCAGTGTCCCATGGCTGGATCACACATGTGGAACAGCATCTTTTCCTTGATCAGACTGAACAGCAGCTTTTCATGAACTGCAGAAGATTGGAGGAGGGTTATTTCTCTTACATATTAAAGAATATTCTGCTGCTCCATTAAGGATACTCCACCTTTGCACTTGGCTTTCTCTTGGTGGTAAGTGCAGACAGCAAGTGTAGAATGGTCCTGGCTCCCTTGGGAGTCCCTGGTGCTGTCAACACCCACAGAGCCCTGACTCCTCATCATCAGTTGATTCCTTAGGACCCAGGAGAGGCAAATCACTGCAGATTTCAGTGTAGGAACAGGTGGGCATTGATCCCATTATCCTGCTGGTTCTAGCATGCATTCCATCAGAACCAGCAGGCTGGGGACCAGCACATAACAGGAGGAAATTTAAAAGAGTGGCAGGGCTCTTTTATTCCTTTAAACAGGCATTTAACTTTAGAGTTCACTTTATCCAGTGGCTTGAGCCCCTGAAGTAAACGACTTTGAGACTTCTTCTTGTGCTTTTCTGGCCAAGGTTCAGGTAAACCAGTCTAAAGTAGGGCCAGGAAACACACTGAGGGCTTGAGCCTGTTCCTGGGGGATCCTTTCCCAGTGCCATGCGTGTTCCCTGTGTTGTCACATATTTGCCAACTCCTGCACTAGGAGTTAGTTATCTGCAATGTGCTTCCTTGGAGGTTTCAAGGCTGGGTTTGTGCATGGCTGCTTGTGAAGCAAGCAAATGGAGCAGTGATTGTGTCCTAAATGGGCAGTTTGGGATTTGCACTGAGAATTCTGGAGTGTCCTGAGTTGGAAAAGCTCCACAAGGATCATCCAGTCCAGCTCTCCTTGCAGTAAAAATAGCAAGAGCTCGTTGTCCTGGTCCAGGACATGCCTCTGCTTTGACATGAGCAATGTAGCACAGATGAACATGTTGATAAACCAGGATTGTTTCTTTTTGGGGTGTGTGGATATTGATTTGAGAGGATTTCCTCATTTTTATTCCTTGTTGGGACAGGAATGGATGGATAGTCAGTGCTGCTCGTTTTAGATGGATCATCTGGGAGTCACCTGATTGCTGTAAACAATAGATATGCCCACATCAAGCTATGCAAAAGGATCAAATGTTGGGATTTTGGAGGAATTCTGGACAGGGTGTTTTCCTGTCTAGCAGTGAGGAGCTGTGTTTCTGCCTGGGAATGGACGTGCAGTAAAAAGCGGTTCTTGCACCTCCTGGCCATGCCCTGTGCTTCCCAGTACTCATCTGGATTTGTGTATTCCTTGAATAGCAGCTTTCAGTGAGCTGTAAATGCAGCACAGAACATGCTGGAGCCAGGAATTTGAGGAAGGAGGAATTCCACCCAACTGAACTGCTGAGACCTGAAAATCAAGATAGTTTTTCTTCTGGCAACTTCAAAGCAGGGAGCTCTCTGTAAATGCAGGTTTGGGAATGACTGCAGCAGCTAATCAAGGGCTGTCATTCTCTTCAGCAGCTCATGGGGCTGTAGAACAAACAGGGAAAGTTTCCTGTGTTAGACTCAGGAAAACAAAGAGATACTGCTGAATAAAGAAGTTATTAAGTTCTCTAGAACTCTGCTTTTGCAATGATTACCTCTGTAACTGAGCTGCTTTAGTCTGGCTCCTGGAGCTGCTGCTTTCCCTTCTCATTCCTGCCCTTAGTGAGGCCTCATTGTGTTCACTGGTACAACTTTTATTCATTGACATTTTGTGGACCAGTATAATCTGGCTGTAAATACACAGCTTGCCTTGCTTAGAGGGATTCAATGCTGTACCTAAAACTAACAGAGATCCATCATTTCAGCATCCCTGCTGTGGGGAGGGAACTGCGTGGGAGAGAGGACAGAGATCAGTGAGAAAAAGTGAAGTTTGAGCAAATTCAGAGGTGGTCCATGTAGGAACTTTGAGTTAAAATTAATTTTTGAAAGTTCTGAAATGAATTTGTTTTAGTTCACAAATTGAAGTTCCCCTAAGCTTTAAGGTGTGATTGCTCACAGCATGGGAAGTTCAGCCAGGTATTTGCTTCCAGTAAGCTGCCAGTGAGGGTTGTATGTTTGATTTAACACCAACACCATTTTTTATTCTCTCTCTTCCCTTCAGGCCTGTATTGATGAGAACCTGGACATGGTGAAGTTCTTGGTAGAAAATGGAGCCAATGTGAACCAGCAAGACAATGAGGGCTGGACCCCTCTTCATGCAGTGGCGTCGTGTGGCTACTTGAACATAGCAGAGTGAGTGAGTTTGGGGCTGTTCTGGGGATTTAAAAAACTTCCCTGTGCCTTTCTATTCAGAGCAGGTACACAGGTGATGAACACTCTGAGCCTAGTACAGTGCTTTGGAAAGCCATGCTGAAAATTGGTGCTTTTCTCTCGGTATAGAGTTCTGAAATTTTGAGGATTAAGGTGAAGCCTTCAACTGATTGCCTTTTGCTGCTGCCATTAGACTTATGATTCATTAGATACTTCAGCTAAAATGCCAAGCAAAAGGAAACGGGACAGTACAGGGATGTGTAGTGAAGGAATTCCTCCCTGTGAGGGTGGGGATGCCCTGGCACAGGTGCCCAGAGCAGCTGGGGCTGCCCCTGGATCACTGGAAGTGCCCAAGGCCAGGCTGGACAGGGCTTGGAGCAGCCTGGGACAGGAAAAGGTGTCCCTGCCATGGCAGGGCTGGGCCTGGGTGGGCTTTGAGGTCCCTTCTGATGCAAACCAGGCTGGAATTCTGTGACTGCCTTTTCTTACCACAGACAGACTGGTGTGAGCAGCGCTGTGGTTAAGTGGGGACTTCCAAGTATATTCACCACTAAACCTCAAGTGCCACATCCACTCATTTTTTGAACACTTCCAGGGACAGTGATTCCACCACTGCCCTGGGAAGCTGGGCCAGGGCCTGACCACTGTTTCCAAAAAGCAATTTCCCCCAATATCCAACCTGAACCTCCCTTGGTGCAGCTTGAGGCCATTTCCTCTTGTCCTGTCCCTTGTTCCCTGGGAGCAGAGCCTGATCCCCACCTGGCTGCACCCCTCCTGTCAGGGAGCTGTGGAGAGTGAGAAGATTCCCCCAGAGCCCCCTTTTCTCCAGGTTGAACAGCAGCCCTTTATTCTTTACCAGTCATATCGTGCTATATATTAGCCACAGCTACCAGAAAGTTTCCAAAAGTTGAATTAAGATAACTATTTCTTAAATGCATTGAAAATAATATATAAAACCAGGCAACCTCAGCCTCCAATATTTGTGTGCTTAAACACATACTTCTTTTACTTCTCAGAATTTTACTGATTAAAAGATGCAGAAGCCAAAGAAGATGTCTGTTGTTCTTTAATGAACTTTTGGTAAAGTTATAAGAGAGCAAATTTAAAAATCGATCATACTTGATGAGGCTTTTTTAAAAATTAGTATAATTTCCTTTTCTTAAATATAAGAATATAATCAACCAGGTTAATGCAAGAAAAGGGGTATTTAAGTAACTATGAAGAAAGAAAAACTGTGAACCTCTGAGCAAACACCTTGGTTTTACAATACCATTTTTAGTCTGGAAGTTGGCTAAGAACGAGGTCCTCATTTGGTAATTGCACTTGCATGAGAAGGGCAGATGGTTTGTGGTGCTGTTTGGTTGCCTGTGTGCTTGCTCTGAAGCCACACTGGGGGTGTGACGTGCTGGCCTGGCTGTCCTGGCTGCAGGTTCCTGATCAGCCACGGGGCCAACGTGGCTGCTGTCAACAGCGAGGGGGAGGTCCCGTCCGACATCGCCGAGGAGGCGGCCATGAAGGACCTGCTTCTGGAGCAAGTCAAGAAACAAGGTAAGGGAGGCCTTGAGTATGTGAGAGTTGGGACCCTTAAGAGTTTCTGGGTGAGAATTCTGCTGCCTGTTGGTGAACAGAGCTGAGATCTGGCCCAGGAAGCAGCAGACTGTCGCTCTATTAGGAACGGCTGGGAATGAGTAACACAGACTCTCATGGAGTCGATCAGGAAAATGTCTCGTAGTTTATTATTTCAGCTCTGTTTTATAGACTGATACGTGGAAAGAACAGAAAGGAAACTTTTATTGGTTAGCAAACCACTACATCACCATCATTGGTCAGTGGGGCACACACACCCCGACCTTCTCCTGCAAAGAAAACAAGAGACAGAGAAACAACACCTGTAAGGCTGTTTTCTGTCTTTGAGGATTGTTTTGAATCCTCCCATGAATTTCCCAGGCTAGCTTCTCAGGCAGGACTGAGAGAGCTATGTGGCCTGTAATTTCTACAGGCTCTCTGTTTCACAGTTAGACACGGAGTCCACAGCAGACAAATTTTGCTTTCAGGACAATGGAGCAGATGCAGGAGGTTTGTGGTCTCTGTCCTTGGGATTCTTCAAAGCAAGACACCACAGTCCTGAAATCTGATTCATCAGATCTAGTCACTTTTAAAGTGAGATGTAATTTTGACCTCTGATAACAATGAAAGATCTTGTTTCACTAAGGGTTGATAAAACCGAGGTGAGATTTATGGGACTGCCAAAGGCAGGGACCAGGAAATGAATATTCCAGGCCTGGAGTGACATGCTTTATCCTGATCTTTGCCTAAGTTGCTTCTGTCATATCCCCTTTCTCATCAGATGTGCCTGGCTGAGAGCTGCTCTCCAGGCTGTCCCTGCACAAACATCCCTGGCTGAAGTGTAGTTTTGGACTGATGTTAAAATAAGGAAATGCTTATTATTATTAATGCTTATTAAGGAAATCAATCTAAAATTTTCTTCATGCTCAGGGAATTCATTTGGGAGTGGTTGAACGTCTGCATGCATGTGTGAGAAGTTTAAATCATGTCTGTGAATTTCATCAAGAATGTTGGAAAAGGAACCCAAGGAATTCCTGGAACTTCTATCCTTGGACATAGTCAAAGCTCAGCTGCATTTGTGTCTGAGCTGGTTGGTCTGGCTTTGAAGTCATGCTCCTTGGAGCATGTGTTTGGGCTACAGACCCCAAAGACTCTTTCTGGTCTGGATTATTTCATTCCTGCAGCTTTTGGGGGCTTACTTGCATCCTGGATTGAATCCAGTCCCTCTGTCAGATACATTCTGACACATGGTGGTGACTTTATTTTTTAAGGTGTAGTTAGGAAGGAATCAGTCCCTCACTGCTTTGTCACCTGTGTTAATGTTCCAGGGCCACCAAATTTGTCAGGCACAACTTGCCTTCAGGGAGGCCAGGTTGGCTGTCACCAATCATCTCCTTGTTTTCCATGGGCCTTAGCATGGTTTCCAGAAGGATCTATCTGCTCCATGATCCTGCTCTGCACAGAGGACAGGCCAATTGGCCTGTAGTGCCCCAGGTCTTCCTCTTTGCCCTATTTCAAAATGGGGATTATCTTTCCCATTTTCCAGTCTGTGAGAACTTCACCAGCCTGTCACAACTTCTCAAATACCAGAGTGACTCAGACACTTCCTCCAGCAGCTCCCTTGGGACCCGTGGGTGCATCTCACTGGGTTCTGTGGACTTGTGCACCTTCAGCTTCCTGAAATGGCAATAATGTGGTTGAAACCTTACAGGACATCCAGGTAATGATTCTGCCTCACCTGCAAGTATTTTGCCTGACACTTTTTGGGATTCTGCTTGCATTACCTAACCACATTAGTGGCATCCTGCTAAGATGCCCTGAAACAAACATCTGTCTCCACCGAGAAGATTTTCATCACACACAGTTTAAAGGATCATAACTGCTGGAGGAAATGGGGTTGAACTTTAAATAAGCATCTGTCCAGCTCTGCAGTCTGTCCTCAGCAGGGGCTGTGAGCAGATGCCTGCTGCAGACTGTAACAACAGCTCAGGTGTGTGCAATTCCCCTCTCAGCCTCCAGCCACTGTGCCTCCAGAAATTCCTGAGCCAAACTGCCTTTCTGTGTACTTGTGAGTGCCCTGTGGCTTTCAGTTTCCTGAGCTAGTGCAGCCCTCCTTGGGAACTCCAGCATGTTCAGCAATTGTGTGTAACAGCTACAAACTTGTCTAGTCCTAGGTCTGAAGCCAGTTTATTTCTGATCTTTGCAAAATCCTGCCATAGTGGGTCTGACAGCTCAGACTCTGAGTTATGTGTTGTCCTTGGTTCTGTTTTAATCCTGATGCCCCATAATTTAATTGGCAATCATGTCATTCTTATACTGAAAGTATTAATCAAGGACACTTGTTCTTCAGGACCCTTCTTGATGTTTGAGATTTGTCATCTTCTAATTTGAATGTTTGTCTGAGTCAGAGGGTTCTACTCTGATTAATCTGGTTTGGATCAGTATCAATATTTGTGATTTATATATTGTCCTTCTGTGATTTCATTAGTGTGAAAATTCCACTTAGGAAAACAAGTCAGAGTTGGTTTTACCTCTTGTTGGTTTAAGGAGTTGACATAGTATCAGCCAGACACCTCCATCTCCACATCATCCCCCTGCCTCTTCACATCTCCACCTGTCCCTACACAGTCACTTAGGCCATCAGAATAGATTTCTTCTGACCTTCTAATGCCAAAATTATTTCAAATTGTGTTTTGTCAGAGTCTGGGGGTTTGCTGCTCAGTGGAATAGCTCAGTACTTCTCTCAGCATGGCTGTCATGGGTGCCCCTGGAGCAGTGCAGATCCCTGTGTGTGTCACCTGCAGTGTCCTGAGTATGGAGTGAGCACAGAGCTGGCACCACCCTGCTCTTGGATACATGTGAAGCTCCTCCAGCCTTCTCTGTAGATTACACCCTCACTGCAGGTCAATTCAGTCAGTCAGGCTGTTGTTCATAACTGTTGTTTCAGTGTAGAACTCAATCCTTCTACCCTTAATGCACAGCTGAAGTTTAGTTAATTGGACTGGGTTGCAACTTTCAAAATTTTTAACTCAGTTTTTGAAGTCTCTGTCAGTGACACAGGAGCTCTTCCAGTTCATAGAAGAGGCTTCTGCTGATTGTTCTGTGGAAGATCAGGAATAGTTTACTAATATTTTATAGCAAATGGAACACAGGGTAATTGTAACAAGTACTTGAGAGCTTTCATCTCTTGTTCATCTCTTCTTCTGTGCTTCACCCCCTTAGGTGTAGACCTAGAGCTGTCAAGGAAAGAAGAGGAGCAGCAAATGCTCCAGGATGCCCGGCAGTGGCTGAACAGTGGGAAAATTGAGGATATAAAGCAGCCTCGGACAGGAGCCACAGCTCTTCATGTTGCTGCAGCCAAGGGCTATTCTGAAGTCATGAGGTAGGAGCTCCTCCCAGGGCTGATGCATGAAATTAAGGCTGAAGAAAACATCTTGCTTTACATTCAGAGAAATTTGTTCCATACTGAGGTTTTCAGGCTGCTGTTTCTCAAAAGGCTCTGTGGTTTGATGTGTCCAGCCACAGGTTCACCAGAAATACACAGGGACTGGAGGATTCCCTTTCATGCCTCCAGGCTTTTCTGAAGTAATGAAAGCTTTTTGGAAAGTGAGGCATCAATTAGGAGGTCTCTAATTTTTCTAATCACGAGGTCTGATTTTTCACTGCTAGAGTAATGGTTTTAGGACTAGCAAGTTAAACAGTATTAGGGAACAAAAGCATAATTTTGACAAACAAAGTGACAACACACACTGCATAGCAGTGACCAGTCTAGTGGGAAAATGCAATGTCCACCCCTGTCTCACTGTCCTCTGCTCCTTCATGCTACTGCTCCTGCAGTGACAGAGGGATTCCAGCACCTGACAGCTCTGCAGCTCTGGCTCTAACCAGATTATTATGAACATAAAATTTCCCAGTGTAGCATTTCTTGGTAAAAAACATTAATACTGTTACAGGTAATGTCAAATTAGGCTTTCCACCAATAAAGCTTTCTTTTCTACCCTTTATGTGTGGCTGGAGCTGCCCATGAACATACAGCTCATGGAATCCCAGACTAGGTTGGGTTAGGAGGAACCTTAAAGCTCATCCAGTCCCACCCCTGCCTTGAGCAGGGACATCTTCCACCAGCCCAGGCTGCTCCAAGCCCCATCCAGCCTGGCCTTGGACACTTCCAGGGATGGAGCAGCTGCAGCTTCTCTGGGCAGTCTGTGCCAGGGCCTCCCCACCCTCACAGGGAGGAATTTTTACCTCCTATTTAATCTAACTCTGCCCTCTGTCTGTGTGAATCTACTCCTTGCCTTGTAAATAGTCTTTACAAGGTGTCATGGTTTGACACTGCCCAGTGCCAGGCACCCGCAGGAGTTGCACATTTACCCTTCCCTCCCACAGCTGGGCAGAGGAGAGAAAAAAATTACTGAAGGGTTCATGACTTGAGATTAGGACTGGGAGAAAACACTTTAAGGGCAAAACAGATTCAGCTTAAAGTTGCAAAGTGAATTTATTACTAGCAGAATCTGAAGAGGATAATGAGAAGTAAAATAAGCCTTTAAAGCACCTTTTTCCCCCCAGCCCCTCCCTCCTTCCCACCAGCAGCACAGGGAGACAGGGCATGGGGGTTTTGGGCAGTTGGTCACCTAACATTTTCTTCCACTGCTCTGGGAGAGGAGTCCTCCTCCTGTGAGACCATGGGGTCCCTCCCATGGTAGACAGTTCTCCATGAACTCCTCTGGCATGGGTCCACTCACACAAGCACCAGTCCTCCCAAAACTGCTGCAATGTGAATTCCCCCCACAGGCAAACAGCCCTCCCAAAACTGCTGAGCCATGAGTCTGTCCTTCCAGGGGGTACAGTCCTCCAAGGACAGGCTGCTCCAGCCTGGAAGCATGGTCCTCTCTCTCCACTGGGTCTTCAACTGGATCACAGCCTCCTCCAGACACCCACCCACTCCTGTGTGGGCTCCTGCAGGGGCTGGGGGTGGATCTGCATCCCCCTGGATCCCCAGGGGCTGGGGGTGGATCTCTGCATCCCTGTGAATCCCCAGGGGCTGTGGGTGGATCTCTGCATCCCCCTGGATCCCCAGGGGCTGTGGGTGGATCTCTGCATCCCCCTGGATCCCCAGGGGCTGCAGGGGTACAGCTGTTTCACCATGGCCATCACCACGGCCTGCAGAGGAATTTTGGCTCCGGTGCCTGGAGCAGCTCCTCCTTCTCCACTGCCCTTGGTGTCTCTGTGTTGCAGCATGTCCATCTTCAGAGCAGTGAGGGGTTGACTCTACAGAAATGGTGGGAGCTTCCAGTAGCTTCTCACAGAGGCCACCTCTGCCCCCCCTGCTACCAAAAACCAGGTTGTTCATAACACACAAGCTTACACTGTTGCCCACATTAAAATCTGTTCTGGAAGTGTTCATCTATCTTGATCCTAAATTTCGTAGTTTTAAGTGATGCTAAAGTGATGTTTTCAACTAGATGTTGAAAAGCTGTTTCATCTCAAGCTCAAGCATTTTATTGTACTTCATGTTTCTGATTTGTATTCAGTCATTAGAACTTAATAACTGAGTGATGAGCTGTCTGTGTCTGTACTGTGCCCAAGAACAGGAATCTAACACAGCTCCTGTGAATAGAAATGTAACATCTCTGGATCTGAGGTGTTGGTCCCACGGGCTGTCGGGAAAGGGTTGTTTATCCAGTGCTCCTTGATGAAGTTCAGTGTGTGCAGGATGACTTAGTTCTGGACAGCCTCTCCTTGGCATTAATTGTGGTAATGATAAACACATCTCCCAGCAAGCTGACATTGTTTCACTCTTGTGTATGTGATGGCTGTGCTGCAGTTCAAATCCAGAGCTTTAGTGACTTCAACCAAAGGGGCTGACAGCCAGGAGCCAGCTAACTCTAAATGAGATGTGCAATCTGGCTGTGACCTTGAGTCTCTTAGCAGCTCTGTTTTTCCCTTGTGCCAGCTGGAAAATCAGCAGAAACTCAGCACCTAATTTACAATTTCTTTCACAGAGAAGCCCACAGCTGCTCTGCTGTGACTGTGTTTTATTTAGCACAGTTGCACATTGGCTAAATCTGCAGGAGTTTCCAAGCTGTTGGTGCCATGTTGGGGTCATGCTGGATTTCCTTCATGCTCTGCAATGGTGGCTCTGGGTGGGGGAACTTCCCACAATGGAAATTTTCAGGAGCAATTGCAGAATTTCCCTGGGATGTTTAAGCAACTTGGATAATAATTTTGATACAGGAGCTTCTCAGTGCTCTCACCTGATCACTGCCACACCAGTGTGTCCATGGGTCTGGAGCTCCAGACTACCCCAAGCCTCCTGTGTTTGTTTTGGTGTTAAATGTTCAAGCTGCAGGTGCTGTGAAACACCAGTGCTCTGCTCTGATGGAGAAGGGAGGGTGGAAGGGGCACAGCAGTGAGGGTAAAGGAAAGGAGATCCCAGGCAAATTCAGTTGTGGAAGATTTGCTTGAACTGTGCGAGAGCTACTCTGAAAGAATGCATTTTTGGGCTTGTTTAATCCAAATGGGGGTTGTTTAGCATACAGATTTTACCTCTGGCAGTGTCACTGCTGCTTCCCTGGCAGTCCTGTTGTTCTCTTTCTGGAGCACCTCACACTGGCCTTGTGCTCTCAGAGAGCCGAGCTCGAGCTGCATTTCCCAAATGTCCCTGTCCTGGCAGGTGCTGTGCTTGTCCCCCTGGCACAGGGACAGCAGTTCCAGTGACACTGTTGGTGTGCTCAGTGCCAATCCAGCCTCTCTCCTGTGCTAGAACAGGAGTTCAGGCTGGGTCACCGATGCCAGATGAGAAATCAAGGTGTTCTCCCAGTTCAGGACATGCTGAAAGGGTTCCTTATCAGTTTGACATGTTCCAGCAGGTTTTACATCAATGCCACTTTTCACTCATTGCTCTTTCCATTAGTTTCAAGCACATCAAGTGGGATGTTGCTCTGGTTAACAAACGAGTCCAGAAGCTCCTGGCTGTTAGGGAGCCAGGCTGCCCCCTTGGTGCCTAACAGGGGGGAAACTGCTTTATCAGGAAGTCATTCCTGATGGGCAGAGATCAATCCTCCTGCTTTCCTCAGGCTCCTGATCCAGGCTGGGTTTAATTTGAACGTCCAGGACAATGATGGCTGGACTCCACTCCATGCTGCTGCTCACTGGGGAGTGAAGGAAGCGTGTTCCATCCTGGCTGAGGCTCTGTGTGACATGGACATCAGGAACAAGCTGGTCAGTACACAACTAATGCAGGGCACTCTATAGCCAGATTTATATCAACTGTTGCCTGCTGCATGGTCATGGAATCATAGAACCCCAGAGAGGTTTGGATTCAGAGGAACCTTAAAGTTCATCTCATTCCATCCCCTGCCAAGGGCAGGGACATCTTCCACCAGCCCAGGCTGCTCCAAGCCCCATCCAACCTGGCCTTGCACACTGCCAGGGATGGAGCAGCTGCAGCTGCTCTGAGTAACCTGTGCCAGGGCATCTCCACCCTCACAGCCAAAAAGTCCTTCCCATTATCCCATCTATCCCTGCCCTCTGACAGTGGGAAACCATTCCCCCTTGTCCTGTCCCAGATCCCTCTCCAGCTCTCCTGGAGCCCCTTTAGGCCCTGGAAGGGGCTCTGAGCTCTCCCTGGAGCTGTTTCTTCTCCAGGTGAACACCCCCAGCTCTCCCAGCCTAACTCCTGCCCTGGGTTCAATTTTAGTGGCCTCCTCTGGATTCTTTGCAGCAGGTCCATGTCTGTCCCGAGATGGGAGCTCCAGAGCTGGACACAGAGATCCAGGTGGAATCTCACAAGAGATCCAACATCATGATCCAACTACATGACAAACTCATAGCAGTTCTCCTTGCCTGTGCACTGGATAATTTAAATACATCAGTAAATGAAGAAACTTGACTGGCAGAAGGCAGAAAAGATTTCAGATATTATGGGAAATGTGACCTGATTAAGACTGAGCTTGTAAGAAGGGCTGGTGTGTGCCATCCTGAGTTAGTGTAACCCTGAGAAATCAAATGGCAGCAAAGAAACAGTCTTGGAGTGCAAAATATACCAATATTGAGGTATAAGGCACTGAAAAGAAGTGAAACCATGAGAAACTGGCAGCTTTGAATCCTCTCTGTTCTACGTATTGGTGAAAAAAAAGGAAATTGAAGATTTGTGAGACATGAGTGAAGAAAATAGGATGAAAGTAAAGGAGCAAAAACGTTTCTCTTCCTTTCCAGTAGTTCCAGGTTTTTCCTTGAAGAGTCCTTGGATTTTCAAGGGCTTGTCCAGGGCTGCTCTTGTTCCCATCCCTGCTGGGTTGTCCACACTGGTCTGTGAGGTGTTTCCCACTGGACAATTGTGCCGTGGCAGCCTCTGGGGGAGGAGAGAAGGTTGGATGTGCTTGGAGGAGCACCAGGGGATGAAGGCAGGAGGCTGTGATAAGAGAGGGCCCCGTGTGTTCAGGTGTATCCAGCTGTGCTGGAAACTGCTGGAACACAAATGCCCCATGAGGAGGAGTCCTTTCAGCCTGGTGAGCTCTTTGGCACCCAAAATATGGGGAATCTTTTCTGTTTAAATGCCATCAGGTGCTTTTCCAAAGTGTTTGGCATGTGTATGCTGTCTTGTAGCATGCCATACTTGAAAAGGAACAGTTGCAGTTGTATTTGTTGCATTACCTGCTCCTTCCAATCCAGAACTGTCTCTTTATTAGGTCAGATGGACGAGGATACCTTTTGTTTTTTGACCTGCAGCCATCAGGTTTGGGATTGTTAATGAAATAGCATTTAGAGCTTTAATTATGGTGAAAATGTAACCAATTTCTTGGTTTGAGACCTAGAGTATTTTCTCTGGCTTGTTTTACTTTATAAATGCCCATGGATGTGGAAATAGATCCCAGATTTTTTGGCTTGCTGCCAGCCTTTCAGAATGTTTAAATACATGATGAAAAAGTAACACAGAACCAGGAATATCCTGAGCTGGAAGGGACCCACAAGGACCATCCAATCCAACCCCTGGCCCTGCACAGACACCCCAAAATCCCACCCTGTGCACCCCTGAGAACCAAACACTCCTGGAACTCTGGCAGCCTCGGGGCTGTGCCCATTCCCTGGGGAGCCTGGGCAGTGCCAGCACCCTCAGGGGGAAGAACCTTTCCCTGGTATCTAACATCAGAAGAGGTTGATCACACACCCTCTCAGTACAAGAGTGTCCTTTTTAGAATCTTGGAAACTCAAGCATAGTCCTGGCTGTTGAATTTGAGCAGCAGCAACCAGGGAGCTGCATTGCCCTGGTAAAAGTTGCTCAGTGAACATAAACATGGTCTTAGAGATCTTTTTTGAGATGATTCTGTGATTCCATGATCACTGTCACATGGGTTTCCTTGCTCTCAAGTGAAACAGTGTCACTTAGCATCTGGGGAGGGAGGATGCAGTTTATTTAATTTAAATATATTTATTTATGTACTGGTAAATAACATTTTCTGGAATATTATCACTGTGCCATCTCAGATATCCTCTTGTGTTCTCCCACTGCACCAGGGCCAGACGCCCTTTGATGTTGCTGACGAGGGACTTGTGGAGCATTTAGAAATGCTGCAGAAGAAACAGACTGTGGTGAGTTTCTGGAGATCATTTTCCACCTCTCCAATTACCATTTCACACACAGGTGTTCTCCAAGACATATGGTGCCAACAGATGCAGGAAGCTGAGGCCCAGCTATTTTCTTGAGTTACTCATTTGCAATATTTAAGCACAGCAATATTTTTAATAGTTAGAAATCTGGATGACTGCAGCAAGGAGGTGAGCAGTGTGATGGCATGCAGACTTATGGGGACTGGTAAGGAATTTGTGTTCATCTTTGTTGCTACCCTGCAGGTGCTTTGTTGGCTGGCAGGCTCTCTAGCATCAAGCTGCTCTGTTCCTACTGAGTGCTCACCCAGGTCAGCTTTGTGTTTGCATCCAGGGAAACACACTGTCAGTGCTGAGAAAGAGATCTGTTCCCATGTCTGCTTTTCTTACAACTGGGAGGCTTTGGATTGAGGAAGAAGAAATTATAAACTTCAGGGAATTCTAGACTGAAAAAATGGGTGGTTTCAAAACCATATGAAATTGCCATTTCATAGTGCAGTGGAGGTACTGGAAGAGATTATAAAACAAAAGTTGACATAAAGGCAAAACAAAATATATCTTGTTCAAAGTAAGGACAGTTGTCAAGCCAGAAAGTTGGGTTTGGATTGAATTTTTTCCTAATTCATCTGGTCTACTCAATTATCTCATTTGGGTGCTTCCAAAAAACAAGCCAAAAAGAATTCAAAAAGAATTAAAAATCTGTAAGTGTCACTTATAACTTTGGGTACAGAAACAGACAGAATGGGAACACTGGTGACAAACCCCAGGAAAGCATTTTCAGGAACTGCCAGTGTGGGTGGTTAGAACTCCAGCTCAGATCACAACACAGCTGCTGCCATCCTCAAATAGCAGCTTTAGTATTCAGGAACTTCTTAAAAATTAATCAGCTTCTCCCTAAATGTCATGTTGATAAATACTATCAGGGTTGTATTTTGGATTCCCCTCTCTCTCACTACTGAGGATTTTGCAGATAACTGCACTTCTTAAAAGAAAAGAAAAGAAGACTTTTTTGGGGTGACTGCTCACCCATTCTTAGGGCTGCTTTGCAGGGCTAAACCCCCCTGTTCTCTATATAGAAGCCCTATATAAAGGCCTTCTCCATTTATTCAGTGTCAAACTGGGTAGAAGAATCCAGATTTTATTACACTTTTTTTTTTTAGTGGACATGATTTTTTAGTGGAAAAGCCAATTTATCATCTGTTTATCATGTGCCATTTTTATCACTGAAAAATAGAAAACTTTTATTTGTTAAGGATAAAACAGGCAGTTTCATGACATTATTTCTCTTCCAAAATGGCTTTCAAATCAGGTATTTTTTTCAGTCTAAAGCAGAGCACTGTGCCACCCTTGCTAAAAGATCTGATGCTGTTATTGGAAAGCAGGGGGGATTTTTGTTTGCTGGAAGCAATTAATTTGGTTTGGGTTTGGAATTTTTTCCCAGTTACTGAATTATCTGTGAGTGGAGCAGGCTTTTTCCTGCACTTCTTTTTGCTGTGCTCCAGCAGTTTGATCAGTTTAACAATGTTGTACCCCAAATTTTTGCTCTTCACTGGAATCCACGCAGCTTTTCCCACTTCACAGGGTGCCCAGAGCAGCTGTGGCTGCCCCATGCCTGCAAGTGCCCAAGGCCAGGCTGGATGGGGCTTGGAGCAACCTGGGACAGTGGAAGATGTCCCTGCTCAAGGCAGGGGCTGGGACTGAATGAGCTTTAAGGTCCTTTCCAACCCAGGTAATTCTGGGATTCTATCATGCACAATTTACAGCACTTTTACTTCCTTTGCCTGTTGTCAACTGCTGTCAAAAGAAAAATAATAACCTGGTGAGCTATGACACAACAGAGTCAACCTTAAATTGACCCCCTAACTCCCATCCATACTTCTGCCTCAGCTGTTTTTGTGCTTCTGGAAGGTACAAAACAATTGTTGGGTCCACTGATGGTGGTAAAATTAATATTGCTGCTCCCTAGACAAAATATTTCTATTTCTGTGTGACCCCAGGTATTCCTGTGTAATGACTTTGTGCATTTGAGAGATTTAAGAAGTGACCCATCCTTCCATGAGTTCCCTGGTTGCCTGTACAGGGCTGGCTTGAATGCTTTCCTCTGAAAGCCAGTAAATAATAGCCACAAATGCAGCAGATTTGTAGCTGAATCTGTCCTGATTTCATGGGCACACACACACATGTGGACAGACCTCCAGCAAAATCCAGAATGGCTTGGGCTGGAAGTGACCTTAAAGCTCATCCAGTCCCACCCCCTGCCGTGGGCAGGGACATCTCCTGCTGCCCCAGGTTGCTCTGAGCTCCGTGTCCCTGGCCTTGGGCACTTCCAGGGACGGGGGAGGCACCAGGACCTCTCTGGGCAGCAGTCAGTGTTCATCCCTGGTCTCAGCAGGGGCAGCTGCAGGTGCCTTTGAGGGTTTTATTGAGTGGCAGCAGCATTCCAAGGACATGCTGGGTGCTGTGCCCTGCTGGAGCTCCAGTCCAAGGCTCACAGTGCCCTTGGGGATGTGCTGCTGTTCAAATCTGCAGTGGTTTAGTCTCACTAGGCTGGGCTGACCTTGTTCTGTGCTGCTGACTAGGTTATGCTGATGGGGCTGGTTAATGTCTGTCCTCATTTTCTCTCTCCCATCTTCCTGGACTTTCTAACAGCTGCGAAGTGAGAAGGAGACAAGGAATAAGCTGATTGAAGCTGACATGAATGGGAAGCCTCAAAACAGATTCTTCACCAAGTAAGTCTCTCCATTTTAGCTGAGAAGAAACTGCCCAGAAAGTAATGGGAGAGCAGCTTCATCTCTCACACCCAGCTGGCCTCAGCTGGGTCAAAAACTATTCACAGCCTTTTATTTCATGCATTTTTTTAAAATCTGAGTACTCTCAGATACAGTTTTAGTTGTGTCTTAACATACCCAGTGAGTGGTGGAGCAAGGGCTTTAGGCTGGTGTTTGGTTCTCCAGCTCCTGCTCTGAGGGTTGATCAGATCTTTGGGCTGAGAACTGCACCTCTGTAGGCACAGAGCCCTGCAGCCCAACTGCTGCATTGTGTGGCACTAGAAAAGGAGAGATTACATTTTTGTGGATGGAAAAGTGCTTGCAGAATTAGAAAATGTGAGACTGGCAGTGGAATCCGTGGAAAAATGGCCATGCTGGAAGTGCTGGAGTGTTCAATCTGTAGGTAGATTTTATCCTTTGCTTGTTCTGAATGTAGTAAATCCTGTCTGTTTGCTCCTGAGAAGTACAGCTCAGATAACTTGCTTGCCTAAAAATTTCCTATTCTGCAGCAAAGAGAAGATTCTTTATGAGGAAGACACAATGAAGTCCGTGGAAGCTGAGGAAGAGAACAAGGACTCGAGCAGTTCTAGTTCTGAAGAGGAAGAAGCTGAAGATGAAGTTTCAGAATCAGATGCTGAAAAGGAGTCAGGTAAGACTTGCTACAGCCTTGGATTTAATAACTAGCCTAGCTGTTATCATTAATGTTGTTATTGTTGTTGTTATTAATTAAATAACTAGATGTTGAGGGCATGCTGAAAGTTTTACTTCCAGTGTACATGTACAGAATTTGGAGAAATCTGGAGCTATGATGATAAAAGAGCTGATTCAAATGCTAACTCCCAGGTCAGCAAAATTATTTTTGAAAAAATAAATCCTTCAGATCCTATTTTAATTCATACTTCCAGCTCACATGTATTGAAGATAACACATTGTCCATAGCTTGTTCTTAAACAGGGTTTTTTTTTCTTGGCCCAATTCAAGAAGAATCCTTCAGGTACTGCAGGATGGTAGGGAAGCAAGTGAAGGTGTAGGAAGACAATAGCCTATTGTGTTTGGATCAGTCTGAAGTGAAGGGCTGAAGCTGTTCTGGGTAATCACAGAGGTGAGGAACTTCTGGGCTGTGATGAATAATGATTTCAAAAAATAGTGGAAAATAAGGATTAAGTACACAGAGTCACAGTAGCATTTACATTATAGTATATTGCTGGAATCTTACTCTCACTCCTTTTCCATAATTTCTGTGGCTTCCTTAATTAGTTTTAGAAGTGTTTATGTGCAGCACAGAAAGTTTAATACAGATACTTTATTTTACAGTAAGCCAAGACTTACTTGTACTTAATACTCTGCAAACACAAATAGATCTTAGACTATGATGTGTTTAATGATTAAACTACTTTTAACATCAACTTACTTGGTCTATATCCAGTATACTAAGAAATAGGCCCTGAGAAGTGTAGTTTAAAGCTTTGTTGTGCTTCTGTGCCCATGGAATTGTCACCTGTGTCAGGATTGTATCAGTTAATGCTGTTTGGGGCAGGGTGAGAGGGGTGGGAAATCCTGGCTGGGCTCTGCAGAGATGCTGCACTAGCTGGGTGGGCATGGCAGTCACACAGGGAAATGATCTTGGGGTTTTAAATCAAGCAAGTCTAGTGGACATGTCAGTAGTAGAAAGAGACACACAGTACAGGTCATATATATTCTCTCCATAAATCAGGTTATATACATATTTATGTAAATACAAATTATTCCTATCTAGCTGGGTGCCAGTGCTTGTAATCCTTGTAAAGATGATGGTAATTTGACCAAAACAACTCAAATGTTTGCACACCTCTAAGACCTGGAGCTGTGTGGGGTTTAACTGAGTCAGGAACAGCCTAAGATCCTTCAGCAAGGAAAGGTCTACAGGGTTCATCATTAAATTTTGTGTAAAAGGTCTTTTTATTGCATTAATTCACTGACCAAAGGACATTATAGGTGTCTGTGTGAAACCACTGAAGCTAATAGAAATTTGAGACAACAATCATTTAGGTAATGATTCAGCTTCAGGCTTTGTTACCTCTACTCTCCTTTCCCAAGAAGATTATTGGGTCCTTTGAGAAATTCCCATCAGAATTGAAGCCCCACCTTGTAAAGTTCTGAAATCCCTGGTAAAATGGGTGTGGACTTGGCCAGCTGGATGGAGACAGAGCTGTCACCTGCTGCATGTGTGAGTGGGGGGTCACACCTTTGGTTCTCTTTTTAAAGCAAGATTCTGTAAGATCAAAGCATCAGCCCACATTGTAGGAGGACTCCAAAGAGAAGTAGGGTTTTTCATTTTGGTAATGAAAATAGTAAATGTCACAGTATTACTGATTTCAGAGACAGACAGTGGTACTCCTGGGCTGATCCCCCAGCATGGGCAGCAGGGCAGGGGGGATTCTGCCCCACTCAGGTGAGACCCCACCTGCAGAGCTGCCTCCAGACCTGGGCTTCCAGCACAGGAAGGACGTGGAGCTGCTGGAGCGAGTCCAGGGGAGGTACCAGGATAATCAGAGGGACAGAGCAGCCTCTGCTGTGAGGAAAAGCTGGGAGAACTGGGATTGCTCAGCCTGGAAAAGAGAAGCTTTGGGGTGAGCTCACTGTGACCTCCCAGGGCCTGAAGGGGACCTGCAAGGAAGCTGAAGAGAGATTGTTTACAAGGGCCTGGAGTGACAGAACAAAGGGAATGGCTTCAGTAAGTTTAGATGGGATATTAGGAAAAAATTCCTCCCTGTGAGAGTAGGGAGGCCCTGGCACAGGTACCCAGAGAAGCTGTGGCTGCCCCATCCCTGGAACAGCCCAAGGCCAGGTTGGACAGGGCTTGGAGCAGCCTGGGACAGTGGAAGGTGTCCTGCCCATGGCAAGGGGTGGAATGAGATGGGCTTTAAGGTTCTTTGCAGTTCAAACCAATCTGGGATTCTGTGGCTCTGTGTTTATCTGGTCAACATTTTACATGCTACATTTTACAGGAGACATTGGTATGAAAACATGAATATTATTCCCTTATTAATCTTCATTTTCTGTAATATTCCCATACCTTTATCATTCTGAGCAGTGCTGGACACACAGACTATGACTGTTCTAAAGTGTTCAAAGTCCAGATAAAAAAAAACAACTGAGTGATCTTTTTAAACCTAAAAATTCCAATCCCTTTAGTAGCTGAGCACAAAGCAGGACATGCAGAAGCTGACAGTGTAACACACAAGTTTATTTTGAGGTGTGTTTAGAAGAGTCTCAGGTTGCAATTAATTTGTTGAATTTGCAGAGACTGTGGGAGGAAGAAATTGGATGAGGGAAGCAGTGGAATTGTTGGAAGGCTTCAGAGTAGTATGTTTCTGATAATCTGTAAGAAACTTGCGTTCTTCAGACAAAGCAAGCTAAGAGCATTAAAGTCACTTCATTCATTCTGAATACAATTAATTTGGCATTGACCTCTTGTAAACAAGAGAAAGATCAGTATAAAATTCTATGATTATCTGTTCTGGGAACTATTACAATATGAAATTATTGGGAATTATAGCAGGCCATGGAAGCTTTTAGTGTTGTTTTGTTTAAAAACCAAACAAACAAAAACTCTTATCCAAAAACCCTTACAAAAAAGAAATTAGAAACCTAAATTTTTACTCTTACCAAATTTGTTTTGTGGAGACTGAACACTCCAGGAGTGTTTGGACAAGGCTCTCAGGGGTGCACAGGGTGGGATTGTTGGGGTGTCTGTGCAGGGCAGGGGTTGGACTGGGTGTGTGTGTCCTTTCAGCTCAGGAGGTTGCACGATTCTTTCTTTGTATCTTTAGTTCAGGCTCTGTCAGTCCTGCTATAACTCCCTGTTATTTTAAGATGTTTCTCTTGGCTTGCTCTTTTCTGTGTCCTTTGAATCCTTATTTTCCTAGTACTGATGATATTTATTACAGAAGGATTGATCTTCATGCTCCAAGGTGCCATCCTCCCAGATGCTCCATCCCAAACTGCTCCAAATGTGTCACAGCAGATTTTTATTCCCTGCACATACATTATGTGCTAGAATTGTTTGTGTGCTTGTGCTTAAAATTACTTTCTTTTTTCCAAGACATGACTGTGTGAGCATTCATAGCTATAAGGAAAGCTTTGGTTGGTGGGTGCAAGTACATCATCTCTCAGGCAGGTTCCATGTGCCTGGGTTGATGGTGAACAGTCTGTCTGCAGCCTGTACTTTCCTGTCAAGTGAACCTATTGCCTGAGTCACACTTTCTGCTTGCTCTCCTCCTGGTAATGTAGTGGATGTTCTTCTGTCAAGCATGTGCACAGATACAAAAAAAAAATAAACGTGATACTGGACAGCTGCACTTGCATAACAAGCAGGGAGCCAGCTGTGAGCTTGGACAAGGTTGCTTAGCTTGCTTGGAGTCCATTAAGGGCTTTTGATGGTCAGCAGTCCTGGCTTCCTGTAGGAAAATGGATTTTGCTGCACAAGACCAGAAATTCTGTCCAGCCAGTGCAGAGAGCTGTACAGTGAAACCAGCACTGGGCACTTAGGGCCATGGGCTGTACCACACTTGTGCTACAGCAGGAACAGCATGTGCCACTTTTCACCCCAAGATTTACCAGGGAAGAAATTCCCAGACAGGAAACAAAACTGTGAAAAACAAAAAACCTGTGGTCCTCTTTATGGTGCTTTCTGCAAAGATTTTGCTTGTCTGTGAGGGTCAAGTACAAAAGCTTTGCCTGGCAAATGTATCCATCCTATTCTTTAGGGAGTGGGAAGCTCCTTTGCAGAAAGCCCTGACATCTGACAGTGCAGAAGGCACTGACATCCCTGTGATCCAAGGAGACAGCACTGAACTGGAGTGCAGACCACACTCTGTGTAGAGAAGGGCCTCAGAAGTGCAATACTGAAACATTTGGTTTCTCTTCTTGTTTAAAATTGTAGAGAGAAAGGAAGAGCCCTTTGCCAACCACTCCAGCCGTGAATCCAGGCCCAGCATCACTGAGCAAATGGCACCACCTGAGCCAAACTCCTTCACTGCGTCTGCCAGAAGAGTAAGTGAATTTGGAATCAATGGGGACTCCAGCAGTGCTCAGAAGCAGAAGGTGTTACTGGGAGATGGATGCTCTGAAAACAGTCTTCAGAGGACTTTGACTTGAATTTAGAAAAGCCTGGTAGTACAAAATTCTGATAAAGATGTGTGTTAACAGCAGTGTAGGGACAGTATGGTTCTTCCTGAATCTCTGATCCTCCAGAGCAAATTGTGGTGAAGAAACCCAGCTTACAGCACATGCTCTGTGTGCTGTCAGTTCTGGAGAGGCTAGTGCCAGTGTGTTCTCAACAGATCTGTCACCAGAGCTGATTCCTGCCTGTGTGCCTGTGCTGAGTTTGGCACCATCATCCAAAGTGCCTGTGACTTGCCAAAGCCAGTTGAGTCAGTGGTATGATGTTAGCACCAGCAAGCAGAGGGTGGTTTGTGTGTGGCTGGCTGGGCTGTAAGCCCAGGTGAAGTGGTGAATGAAATCTTATGTGAATCCTCCTGCTCTCAGATCACTCAGCTAGATGGCACCAGGAGACTCTGCTCTGCACAGGACTCCTGTCGTGTGCCACTGCTTTCTTTTGCACCAGACTATGGAGGAAACAGCACAGACACCTGGCCCAGGGCTGAAGCACTCAGTGCTTGTCAGAGGGAAATGTTTTCTGCTTAGGCACAATTTTTTCTTTTTGGCATGTAACTGAGTGTAACCAAGATCAAATGAAACAGAGCTCCTCTGGGCATTGCTCAGCTCAGGCTGGCTTAGCAGGGGAACTGTTAGAGGTAGAAGGATGCTGGGAAGTGTGAGCACTTCAGTTAACCTTTTCCCAGCTGCACAGGTTTGGTCTCACTCCTTTAACACAGAATAAGGGTGTTAGGATGTAGAAGCTGGCCTGTGAGCAGAGCAGTTACTGATTTCACCTCAGTCACTTAAGATCAGCTTCTTTACCTTCTCTCACCCATTTGATTTTTCTGCAATTCTCTTTGACAGACTTGGCTTTAGAATGTGTTGCCTTCTATTAGGGGAGTTATTAGTATGTGCTGTTCCTGCATTGTTCAGAATTTACAGATGGCAGCTTTTGCTGTGGTTTTGAGCGTTCTCTGAGGAAAGCATCAGAATGACATGAAAATGTTAGAGCAGTGTAGCTCAGTAGATTGGCAGTGCTGGAAGCAGTGGAGTACAGATTAACTCTTTGCATCCTCATTGAAATGACATGAGCTGAAAGCATTGCTCAGATACTGCAGGGATAATTTTAGCTTGGCAGTCTTCAGACAGTGAGTCTGAGGGCAGAGCTCCCCAGTAGCTCCATTTATTCTGAATAGTGTCAGATGGTTTGTGTCAGATAGAATATGATACAATAATGCTTAGATCAGCTTTGATCAAAAGCCTTGTCTGCCCAGTGTCCTGCCCAACACTGACTGTCAGAAACTGCTGGAGAACACAGTCTTGCAGGAATTCCCTCCCACATTCCAGCAATTGGCATTCAGGGACTCACTGAACCTGGTGTATTTTTGTCTTCAGTAGCTCCTGTTGGGCTTTTCCTCTCTGCAGTCACTTTTTGATAGGGATCTTCTAATGTCCAATGGTAAAAATAATCCTTCAGCTTAGTTAAAAACTCTACAAAGCTCCCAGTCCCATTAACCTACCACACACTGGGTTTGTTTGCTGTCTCTTGTTCCTTTATGGGAAGGACCAAGAAATAATTGTTCCTTACTCACCCTTCTGTGTGCCACTGAGGGTTTCATGTACTTGGTCACATCTCAGCCTGGAGACTACGGATATACTGAATATCTCCTCATGCAAAACCTCTCTTGCTCTACTCATTCTTCCTGCCTTTCCCTGAGCTCTTCCCTTCTTGTCAACTGCTGCTGAGCCCTGGAGCTGAGCTGTGTGTGGTACCAAAGGTGTAATTGTACCCTGAAGTGACACAGAGCCACGGTGGTTGTGTGTTTTGTATCCTGTACCTTTCCAATAACTCCTAATAATTTGTGTGCTTTATTTCCTGTACAACTTGGTGCTTAGCCCTCTACAAGTGGCTCTTGTGATGCTCAGGCTCCATTCTTGAATGGCAGTGGGCAGCCTTGTGGAAGACTTGATAACTGTAGCTAAGGTTGTACATTTAAGCAGTTGCACATTTAAGCAGTTGTATAAGTTATATAAGAACTAATTTATGCAGCTCAGAAATGCCTCATGTTCCATAAAACACAATTCTGTGGAATGCACAGTTACCTGCCCATGGAAGGGGCCTCTGTGAGGCTGAAGTCCAACACCCTGCTCAAAGTAGAATTAAGCTCATGTCATGTTGCTTTGTCCTACCTCAGCTGAGTACTGAAAGGTCTCTGAGGATGGAGATGCTCTAGTCACTTGCTCCCTGTCCCAGTGCAGCTTTGCTTCTGCCAGGAGTTGTGTCTCCATATCAGCTGGGATTTCCCAAGTGGAGACTTGTCTGTTCTCCTTTCACTGGAGACAAGTCTGGTTCCATGTGCTCTGTAAACCCACTCCCAAATAGCAGAGCAACTAAATCCTGTCTTTGCCTTTTCTTTTCCGTGCTCAACAATCCAGGTTTCCTCAGTCTCTTCCTTTACAGTGTTGGCTGCAGCTCCCTGGTGATCTCGATGGCTTCTCCTGGACTCCACTGGTGTGAGGGGTTTGTTTTGCAGCTAGTTCTGTAAGACCTGAGTCCTTGTTTCTGCTTTTCTGCATTTTTATGAATAATTCCCCCTTCCTAAATAAGTGATAATAAATAAATGAGTGATAATAAATGCTTTATTGTTCCTTATATTCTTTCCTCAAAGCTGGAGGAGGGCATTGTGTAGGCAAAGACCTGCACAGTGACAGAAGATCCCTTTCATCCTCTGTCCTTGGGGATGAGGCACTACAGCAATTTCCATCCCTGTGAGTTCACCTTGAGCTCTGTCCTGTAATTAAAGTGAAACAGGAAATAAGTCAATCTATCATACAAGTCTAGTCCAGTAAAAACTGGGGCTTTCTGAAACACTTTCTGAACTTAGAGTGTGCCTTGCAGTGCTGTTCCTTTTTCCTAACTGTTCCAAACTGTTTGTCCTCCACAGTTCAGTTGGCTCAGCAAGTCAGATGAGCAGAAGGATGAATCACCTTCGTCCTGGAGGCTGGGCCTGAGGAAGACTGGCAGCCACAACATGCTGAGTGAAGTTGCTGCCACTCGTGAGGCACAGAGGGATAAAACTTCTTCCATCTATCGCTCCTCATCCAGCCCTCGGATATCTGCGCTGTTGGACAACAAGGAAAAGGTTTGGCTTTCAGCAAGGATGTTTTAGTGTACCCACTTCATCCCACAGGTGTAAACCCCTTTCCTTTTCAGTTACTGCTGGGGTTTTGTCCATAACAAATGTGGGTCTCTTTCATTCTTACTTTCTTTTTATTTTAAAAAATATTTCCCTCCTATCAGTTGTTTCTCCAGAACTGGAGTTTGGTGCCCCTTTGACCTAATTCCTGCTCAGTTTGGACCAGGCTGCCATTGAACAGGGGTTCTCAGTCTGGCACAAGCCTGTTCTTTACAAGAAAATGTCCAATCCAGACATCACCACATACCTGCAGTGGAGATCCTCCTTCCCCGTCGTTTATATAGATTTCTCCTCTATCCACTGGCTGCATTTGTAAATCCCATCACACCTATTCAGTAACTGTAACTTTTCTGCCCCTGGGTAGATGCCTCATCCCTGGAGGTGATCAAGGTCACCTTGGATGGAACTCTGGTCTAGTGGACTAAAGATCCCTTTCAACCTAAACCATTCTCTGATTCTGTGATTGACAAGTTATTCTCTAAGTTAGAGCATGCTTTTATTCACTACCATGGTCATCAGGAAATCCCTTTCAGAACTGATATTTCTGTACTGTGCTATGTGTTGCCCAAGAAGTTGCCTTAAACCAGCTGGTAGGAGAATGCTTTCTCAGTTGAAGAAATTTGAACATGAATTTATTTGGCACTGAATGTGCTGGAAGGGTAAGAGATATGTAGCTGAAGTTCCTCTTTTGCTTCACCAGGACAGAGATAACAAGAGTTATCTTGCCACCATAGTCCCCAGAAGACTGAGCAGTACGAGTGATATAGAAGAAAAAGAAAACAGGTGAGCCTGGCTGAAGTTAATTCTCAGCTTCCATCCTGTCAATACTTCTGGAATATAATTTTTCTGCAGTCATGCTTTGTACATTTTCTCAGCAGTCTCAAGTGCACAGGCATTCACAACATCAAGAGCCAGCTCTGTCTATAAAAGTTCTGCTACGTTGGTTTTTATTTAGGTGAGCAGGAGTCAGCAGACTGGTTCCTCCACCCCTGTACTCAAATAGTCACAGGCTCCATCCAGGCAACCAAATTTATGGATCCTTTCTCCTTTTAATATGCAAGTGCCTCATTCTGTAGCTGCCACCTGTACTTCTACTTGTCACTTGCTCAGCAGTCACCTTCAGTCCCTTTGTTCACACCTCTGTTGCTTGAGGTTCACTTGAGCTTGTGAACTTTCCCATGTGGGAACTGTTTCATTGCAGGGCTGTTTTTACAGTCGATGTGTGTAGATGCCCCTGGACGGAACCATGGTGTAAATGCTGTATATATATCCAGGATTTCCAGAGGGATTTGAGGAGCTGGTCTACAAGCAGTGTCTTCAGGTGCCTTCCAGTGCTTAAAGGGGCTCCCAGAGAGCTGGAGAGGGACTTTGGGAAAGGGCCAGGAGTGCCAGGACAAGGGGGAATGGTTTCCCACTGCCAGAGGACAGGGATAGATGGGATAATGGGAAGGAATTCTTGGCTGTGAGGGTGGGCAGGCCCTGGCACAGGTGCCCAGAGCAGCTGTGGCTGCCCCTAGATCCCTGGAAGTGTCCAAGGCCAGTTTGGATGGGGCTTGAAGCAGCCTGGGAAAGCGGAAGATGTCCCTGCCAGGGCAGGTAGTAGGGCAGGATGAACTTCAAGGTCTCTTCCAACCCTGGCCATTCTGTGATTCAGTTTGTACTCGAAGGAGTAAAATTTGACCTTAGCCTTATTTCCACCTACTTTCCCAAGAGAGGAGGAAAGGCACATGCAGGGCAGTAGCTGTGAACTGTAATTGTTGGGCAGGAGCTGTGGCAGAGAGAATTTGAGCACAGCTTGAGATTCTTTGCTAATCTTTTGCTAGAACCTCCCTGCTGTGTTCTTGTTCATTCTCAGGCAGTCTCTGAGGTCCAGAGCTTTGCAGACAATTTGTGTCTGTTGATCTGCTCAAGAAGGTTTGGCAGAGGCTGCTGTTGAGTGGCACAATTAAATTAAATAATAAATTAAATAATAACAATTAAATAATAACAATTAAATAGGTGCTGACAAGTGTCCTTTTCTGGGTGGAGTGGGGACTGGCTGAGGAGAACTGGCCTTCAGGAACAGATGGTGCCCAGGCATGCTGTGTAGTACAGATTTTTTCCCAATATTCTTTCCTTTCAAAACATCTGTGTTTTCCTTTCTGGAGTGCACAGGTGTCCTGAGAGAGCATCAGTCTGGGCATGACAACTGGAAATGAGAATTAATGGCAGGGTGATGGGGGAATGGATTAGTGCTGCATTACAAGCTCCAGGTCCTGTCCAGCATCAGCAGAGAGCAGGATACCCTGCCAGAGTGTGCATTAGCATTAGGGAAAGAGCCCTGTGCTCAGATAACCAGGGTAAAAAGGACTACTAGGAATTTCTTGATGACTTGTCAAGTAGCTTTAGATACTGTAAATATTTTGTTTGTGGATTTCATGATTTTGTGGTGTGCTGGGTTAATTGTTGGACTCAATGATCTTAGAGGACTTTTCCAAGCCAAATGATTTTGTGAAAGGCTTTGCTGTGCTGAATTCCTTTTCTCATTGCCTGGATACCTTGAAGAATAAAAGCTTCCCTGCAATTCCAATATCTGCCCACTCTGACCTTGTTGTTTGATACAAACAGCAGTGAGAATATTATATGACACTATTTTATATGTTAAATTACTTTTATGGACAAGCTGAATTTCATTTGCAGGTTTTCTGACTAAAAAGGATCTTGTTCCTCATAATGCAAAAGCATTAGATCATCTATGGCTCTGAATTGAGCTGGCAAGGGCAGGAATTGATGTTAAGGCCAGAGCAGGTGTTTCTCTGAGCTGTGTCACCTGAACAATGTAGCACATAAAGTAAGGGAAGGATCTGTGCTGTGCAACTGTAAAGGAACCCAAAGCAGACCCCAGAGGTTTTTCTAAGCAAAGGCTGTGTCTGTCCTGCTTTAGAGAATCTGCAGTGAACCTGGTGAGGAGTGGCTCCTACACCCGGCAGCCCTGGAGAGATGAGCCAAAGGGAAACGAAGCTCCCCACTCTGGTGCCCCCACTACCTACGTATCCACCTACTTGAAAAGGTATGTCCAGCTCTGGCTTCCATGGCTTCTCAGGCAGTCAGAACCACTCATAACTTGTGTCCCAGACCTCAGCCTCCTGCTTGTTGCCTCCTGCATCTTGTAACTGGCCTTGGCACCTTCTTCTGCCGACAGCAGGAAAGAAAGGTTAAGATTTTTCATATTTGTCATGCTAAATAGTGTTTTTAAAGGCTATAATTTTTATTAATTTGCAAATTTCTGCACTGAATTTAAATACTCTTGTTCCCATAATTCAAATGTGATGTTTTCTCTGCTTAATGTTGGTGTTATGGTTAGAAAATAAAACCAAAATCGATCATAAAAACAGATTAATATTATAAAGAGTCCAAAAGTGTTGTTCAGATAGCTCTTGGTGAATAAGTTATAGCTTATCTCTAATTTTGGTTTATATTAGTCCATGTTTGTGGTATCATCAGATCTTGTGCATGATGTACAGCACTTGCTAAGGAGTAAAACTCATGCTTCCACTGTTGTTTTGTAAGGCAGTAAGGAAGGAAGCAGTTTGTTCACAGTGTGAACAGTGGACAATCTCAGTTGTAGAGGTTGGTAAAGGAGTGTAGTGGCTTAGGTAGAAGCAGGAAGGCAATTGCAGGCAAAACTCCTGTTACTGCAGTGTCCTGGACCCTCCTGGGAGGCAGAGCCTTGGTGTCCTTGAGGTGGGAGCTAACAGCTCTGAGTGAGCTGAGACAGTGCCCTGCTCTGGTGAGGCAAACAATGCAGTGCTGGGTTTTCATGAGAGCAGGAGCATCAGCAGTGCCAGCACTTCACTTTTATTTCAGCTGATACTGGAGACCATCAAAACAGCCTGTAATGAACATTTCACACTGCAAAGCCATTGTGTTTCTGCTTAAGGAAAACAGCAGCAACAGCTTCAGGGTTTAGATTGAGTTTCACCAGGTTCTAGACACTAAACTAAACTGTCCTGAAGATGGAACAATTGCTTGAGATACTTGGGAAGAGACAGCTTGTTGCAGTGTTTATGCTGTAGAGGTAAGTGGTGCTCAAGGATGTGTGTGGCCAGTTGCTGAGCACACAGCATCCATTGCCACAAAAGGTGAAGCAGCCCCTTCAAGCAGAAGCCTTGTGCTCTGCTGATCCATTCCAGTGACTTCACAGCTATCCTGGGATGTGATGACAGCCCAGCCTCCACAGCTTGTCTCTCTCTGAAGATGGTCTGACAAGCTGCAGCTGGTAACATTGGAAAACTTGTACCTCTTACAGCCGGCGCACCTGTGCTGCTCCCTGAGCTGAGGGACAGCCCAGTCACCCCCAGGCAATCTTACAAACATTGCTGGTTTATCCCAGCTAATCCTGCACCAGATTTAGTGTTGCAGTCACACTGTTGTACTGTATTTCCTTGGTTGAAATGTACAGAAGGTGGGGAAGGTTTAGGCTGCAGTGGGATGTCACTGATACTGAGTTCTTGTCACAAAGGCTGAATTCTGGCCTTTGGTAAGAGAATGATGGGTTCACAAGTAGGTACACAGAGTAGCTTTGTCAGGTAGGAATAAATGTGCTTTTAAAGGAGAGATCAATGGGTTTGCACTTCATATACAAACAGTAAAACCATGCTCAATTAGATCTTTATCCCACAGAGTTTTCTGTAGGAGAGCACAGAGAAATTGAATACGATTGTATTGAACTTTTGATTTCTCCAGCCTTGTACATCTTCCCCTAAGATCAGGAAAGGAACCTGCTTAGGCATAAATGTTTTGTCATTTCCAAGTATTAGCAAAACTCTGAACACAACTCCAAAAGGTGAAAGCTTCTTAGAGAGGAAGAATTTGAGGGAATATGACATGCTTGGATGAGGGATATGACATGTCATGTGGATGTCAGTGAGGGGATGACTGTGTACATCTGCAGCTCCCCTTTGCCTCTGCATTTGACTGATCTCCTTAAAGATCACAGATGGAAGGGACCTTAAATCCCATCTCCTTCCACCCCCTGTCCCTGCAAGGACACCTTCCACAAACCTGGCCTTGGGCACTTGCAGGGATCCAGGGGCAGCCCCAGCTTCTCTGGGCACCTGTGCCAGGAGCTCCCCACCCTCACAGGGCACAATTCCTTCCCAATATCCCATCTAACCCTAGTTATGTTCTTTAAGTGAATGAACAACAGCAGCAGATCATCTTAAGATGGGGGGAAAGCTGCTGTTGCTGTGAGGTTTGGTTTTGTTTTTGTTTGGTTGGTTTTTTAAGAAAAGGGAACAAAATAACTTGCAGCAATGTTACAAGTGTTGGAGCAGATGTTAATGCTCTCCCAGACGTGGTACTGGCAGCTGTCCTGCTTTCTCTGTGTGTTCCACTGGCCCAGAAATCTACAGAACCCTGCTCTAATATCCTGGTGTCCATTTTAGTGCGTACTGGCCTTCAAAAATCCAGGTCACTTTGACTGTGAATGAAAGGATGTGGAGGAAAACTGGCAGAGCAGGTTGGATTAGTTCAGCATCCTGCCTTTGACATCAGCCAGAAGTGCTGCCTCCCAGGAAGGGCTCACACCAGAATGAAATCCTTCAGCCACAGTTTCTCCTTCATTTCACATTTATGCAACCACCTCCTTGCTGGTTCTGGTCACATAAAAGCCATTGCAGTGAGCCAGGACAACAGTCCCTGCAGCCCAGACTCTGTTTCTGACAGCAGCTGGTTTTGAAGAAGTTGCAAAAACCAGGATAACTTCAGAGGAGTCTTCTACCTCCCATGCTCTCCTTGCTTCCAGGAACCAGGAATTTAGGAGCCAGGGGTTATATTTAACCATTGTTCTTAATACTGTTAACACTGTTCTTAATCACTGTGGCCAACTTCTGTACCCAGATCCTGGTTTGATCTTTGCAATACCCCATGGCAGTATGTTTAAAAAAAACCAGTAATGTGCTTTTTGCAAACCTTTTTTATACCACATGTGGATGCTTTTTAGGAGTGTGAAGGTTCTTAAGTTAAAGTTTTTAATGCCTTTAAAATATTTCTTTAAAGTCAGAAGTATCTCTTTTTATTGCTTTAAAATGGTGCTTTACATTTCTTTGCTCATTCCCTGATGGTTCTGTTGTGGTGAAAATGTTAAAGAATGAGGAGCAGTGTGTCAGTGCCTCTTTTTATTTCTAATGTTGAATTCTTCAGCATAATTTCAGAGCCCTCCCTTTCACAGACTGCTATGGACACAGCTGTTAATTAACAGGATTCCCTTGCTAACCTTTATATTGCAATTTTCTAGTCCTGTTCAGATCAAATGTGAACAATGGAGTAAATGCCTTGGAGTGCTTCTCACACTGTGCAGTGCCACCCATGCAGGGGGACAGGCTGGGAGGTGGATTCCTGCAGAGCTGCCAGTGCCTTGGCTCCCTTGGGAGCAGGAGTTCATTCCTGGTGCCCCAGCACCACATTTCTCTACCCCTGAGCTGGCACAATGCCATCCCTGTGCTCTGTTCCTCCATTCCTCCTCCTTCCCTCTTAAATCACTGCTTTCCCAGGCACCTGGTGCTGCTTCCATCCTCCTCACCCATTGCCTTTCCCTTCTGAAAGACAATCCTTGTCAGGGCTTTCTTGATATCCCTCCTGCATCCTCCCTTCCTGACCAAGTTCCTTCTCTGTCTTGCAGCCATTCTCGTGCCCCAGCCTCTCTGCTTTGGGCTCTCCTAGGCTGGTGCCACATCATCTCTGTTCCCCCAGGGCTGCCACTACCTTTTCCCCTGTTGATCCTCTTCTTCCTTCCCTATACAGAGGCTCCACTGCCTCTCCTCAGAACACTCATTTACATGACTCCACAGCCACTTGCTCCACATGCCCACCCCAGCCAGGTTCCTTTTCCCACTCCCACCCTTCTCCCAGCCCATCTCCAGGGCTTGGCTTTTCCCTCTGGAGCAGAGAGGAAGGGAAGGGACTTGCTTCCAGCAGGACTTCCTGCTCCTGCATGTTCCAGGCAGGGCCAGCATTGCAGAGAAAGCTCTGTTTAGGGTCCAACAGAGGTTGCTACCTGGTGACAATGACTTGCTTGTTCCTGTGTGACCTGGACATGGTCCTTCAACCGAGGAGCCCAAAGGGGAGGTTCCCCCTGTGGAGGCATTCCAGGATGCTCTGTTGTCCCCTTTGGCTCCCTAGGGACCAGCTGATCATGTAAAACTTGTGTAAACTGGTGCCTGGGTGAACAGGACTGGATCCTTTCTCTGGCCTCCTGTCCTTGGCTGTGGTCCTGCCCCTTCCCAGTGCTATTTCAGCCTTAGGCTGCTCTCTGGATTCTTACTCAAGAGCTGACTTCCAGTTTCATTCTGTTGTCCCTGGCTTTCCCTAAAACCTGCAGTTCTGTCCTGGCCTGCTTCTTTCCTCTAGGCCAGCTTTTATTCCTGTGCAAGCACTTTGGATGTGCACTATTCCATGTGCCCTGCTATGGGAGCCATTAGGATGCAGAAGGTGAGAGCCAACCCTTCAGACAGTCCAGTCTGACCAGTAGCAACCAGGCATTCCAGGTACTGGGAAGGTGTGTCAGGGCCCTAGGAGCCCCTGGATTGCTCTGTGCAGGCAGTGAGCAGCTTGTGTGCAGGGCTTGGCCATGTGCAAGAAGGAGATTCTGCCAGATTTCATCAAGTCTATTTTCAGAGATATGCAGCTTTTCCCACTGGAGTGGATTTTCTCTCCCCTTAGGCTGGATTTTCTTTGAAAAAGTGAAAGGTCCATCCTTGTATAAGAGCCCTTCTTCTTTCCCCCTCTGTATTCTCCAAAATAGGAACACAACACAGCTTTTCAGTAAAGATTGCTTTTCAGGGCTTGCTTTAAACTGGCAAAATATTATTTTCCTTGCTCATTCTTGAATATTTTTGGATAGCTGTGCTAGCTATTTTCTATATGTTTATGCCAAATGTGTGTTAAAGAGAATTAAAGCCCAAACTGATTTGTCTCTGCCAAAACCTAAAGCCCCTGGAAATTAGTTCTTAAAACTGGAAGTGCTGGACATTCTCAGGGGTGGTGCAGCCAGACCAGGTTATGTCACTCTCTCCTCTCCTGCTTTAAGCATCCTCATCCTTGCACCTGCCTTTCCCCAGGGCGCAGGGTGTTCCATGTGCCCTGCTTTCACTGCAGCAGGGTTTGTGCCCTCCCTGATCCTCCCCACCTCCCCCCCACGCCATTGTGCTCTCACTGGAACTGAGCTGGGCTTAGCTAAGCAGGGCTCTGCTGGTCCTGGCCTGTGTGGGCAGCCAGCGACAGCTCTGCTGCTTTCTGATCTCCTTGCACACATTTTGCTGCCATGTGGTACCTGCTCCCTTCCCAGCTGCCAGCCTGGCTGTGGGATGTGCTGTTGAATATTTACTGTGCTCTGAAGGACGTGATTTTGTGATGTTTTACAGTGCTTCATTTGGTAGAAGTAGTGACCCGAGCAGTCCCTACATTTCAGCCAGTTGCAGTCCATCTCTAGCTACCTCACCCACTGCCATTGGCTCATCTACCTCCCTGGGCACCCCGTGGCAAGCTGTCCCTTGCTGTCCCCCATCTCTCGGTGTGAGCACTCCTGCTTCAGCCCGCCACAGCACCAGGTAACGGCTCCCAGCGGATGTAATGCGCCAAAAGTCGGCATTTGGGTTGGAAGTTGTGGAGTGGATTAGGGATTGGAGGTGTGCTTCACACCTTCTTGTGGGAAGTGCTGATGAGCAATCCCAGGATGATAAGGAATCGCAGGATGGTGGTGTTGGACAGTTCCAGTGGTGGGTGGAACTGGCAGGCAGGTGACAGTCCCTTGTGCCCTCTGTCCCTGTGACACAGCACGTGCTCAGGCTGCCCTCGGGTGCTCAGTGTATAAGCTCTTGGAGTCCCTTCCTTCTGCTTATTCACCAGGTACATTTTTCTGATCATTTTTGCTACTAACAGGGATGTGAAGGCTGTTAATTCCTCCTGCTCATTCTTCTCCCAAATTTTGTAAAACTCATTTTACTGTGGCTGTTCTCTACAAACACCAGTGTAAAGCCAGGAGGATGAACTGTCCACGCTCCCCCGTCGAGGAGGTTGGGCTCAATCAGCACTGGAGTTCACTTGCTTTGCTTTCCATATGTCTTCTCTATTTCAGAGCCCCTTTCAGGCAACAAACTGATTCTGCTGTAGAGAAAAACGCAGAGGGCAGCTGTGGCAGCACCCCTCTAGGTGTAATCACAAACCGTGCTGTGCTCGGCGCTGCCAACGGCACCGGGAATGCCGGGGCTGCCTCCGCCCTGGGAAAGGAGCTCTCTGCTGAGGAGCCCAGGGAGCGCAGAAGGTCAGTGAGGAGTGGGCTCCAGTGGCCCCTCCGTGGGCAGCTCTCACGTGGTGGTGATGGTGGGGGTTTAAGAACTGGTTTTTAGGTGCTCCATGAAGTTCCCAGGTTGCTGTCCCTACCCTGTCTGAAGGTTTTGAACTGAATCGTCACGGGCTTGTAGGTTAAATTGAGTTCCATAACTTTCTGCTTGTCTCTTCAGCATCTCAGCCTTTTCCTTCAGTACTAATCTCAGCTCCTAATCTCAGCCCCATTCCTGTGTGTTTGCAGGGACGCACAGCAGAGCAGCCACTCGCAGTGGGTTCTGTAAAATGAATCCCACCCTAAAAAGACCATTGTATTGAGACACATTCAGATAAAATCTGTCCCTCTGATTCAGCTCAGCTGTATTTAGTTGTGCCTTGATGGAGACAGCTGTGCTGCACAGGTCCCCAAGATTCCCTTTGCAGCTGAGTGGGAGAACACAAACATTCCTGGGGCGTATGAGTGTGTGACACAGTAGGAGCTGGACTCCAGCAGGTATGGCTTTGGCTGGAAAGGCCAGAGGCAGGAGATTGCTGTGTGCAGCTGAGGCCATTCCAGCAGTAGCAGCAGTGGGAATGACTGACTCCAGCTGCTGGTATGTCTTCCTTATCACATGGTGTTATTTACAGATGGCATCAGTGAAAGCAAATAGTAGTAAATAACTATTATTTATTACTGGGTGTTTCTAACCAGCAGTGAGTTCATGTAGAGTATCTACAGGGTGCTTGGATTCTTCCACATTGTCACGGTGATTTACGGAAATACAACCCTTGCTGAGTGCAGATAGTGCTGTGACACATCTTAAATGGCCTGAGGCTGAAGGATGGCAAAAGCAATAATGGGAATTATCAGCCACTAAAGGTGGTTGGGCTGTGCTGCTGCTCAGCTTCACCTGCAGTACATCCAAGCAAGGTGGGCTGTGCTGTTGGAAAATACTTAAACTTGTAATGCTGTTTAGGATTTTTATTTTTTTTTTCCAGAGCTAGCACAGGGAGCACTTGAATATTAAAATGTTCTGGAGGAGCCACATTCATCAGCTTTGTGTGCAGGGATAGTTTGCACCAGCCACTGCAGAGTAACTTTGGTGTAAAAGCACTTGGGTTAGCCCTGGAAGTGTCTCTGTGTGCTCCCGTTGCACTGCTGGAGGTCACTTGGCTTGGGGTCATTTGCAATTGGATCGAGATGAGCTGCCAGAAGATGCTGCCAGAGCCCAGTGAGGTTGTGCAAGAGGACAGAGTGAGTACTGTGCTCTCAGTTCTCACTTCAGACCCTTCACAAGGGTCTCTCCATTTTAACAAGCCCAGAACCAAGTTGCAGAAGCAGATTTTTCCCTGCAGAAGTGGGCTTCTCAAAGTCCCCCCAGTCTTCTGGCACTGTCTGCAGATAGAGAGCTCGACAGGGATAGTTATTTGTAGATGCCCAAAAAAAGCATGCATTGATATTGCTGCATTGGCATTTACTGTCAAATCTATTTCTATAAATAATACAGAAGATCTGTTTGTGTCCTGCATTTTTATTAGAGAACCATCTCCTGTGAATTATGGTAAAGAGAAAACACTAGGAATTTTTTCTCACCTTTAACTGATGCTTTGAAACTTCTGAGAGGAAAAAAAGTCCAGAAATTTTGTATTGTGCTCACTGGGGAGGAAACCTTACTGATGAATGTACGTCCTTACAGTGGGATAAAGTGGCTGGGAGCTATCTGCACATTGGAGTTAGGAAACATGGACACAGGGAGACAGGAGAAGTCACCTAAATGGGAAAAGCTTATTAGGGAAGGAGACCAATTCCAGTAAAATAAAAAGGCAAACAGTTGTCAGGGCAGTGCTGTATGGATTTCAGTTCCCAGTGGCAGCTGTTGCAGGAGTGTTTGGGCTGCTTCAGTGTTTCCAAAGCGCCAGCTTGCTCTTAGCAACAAAAACATAAACAGGCTGGTCATCTAATATTAGATCACAGGGACTTCTCTGAACTTGTGGCCTGAAAATTATCTGTGTGAGGCCAGAAGGTTAAAGCAGAAGTGGCTGAGTAGGGCTGGGCATGAGCGACTGGCAGAGTGCTCTGTTGTGCTGGTTTGCATCCTCTGGTGGCCAGCGGGCCTTACCCTGCCCAGCACAGTGTTTGACCCATGGTGCTTCACCTGTTCTTTGTTTTCCAGCTGCATTGCTCAGGAAATGCTCCAGTAAATGCTGGGAAATAGTGTAAATTCCAAGGAAAGAACCAGCAGAGGGGCAGTGGAGCAGAGATCTGTTTGGGGCACGCGGTGCCAGCCGGACAGTGCCCGCTCAGGGCTGGGGCCAGATGTTCCAGAGGTGCTGCCACGTGTGTTCAGTGTGTCCTGCACATCCCAGCCTCCTGATGCTCCTCTGCAGCACTGCAGTGTGCTGTGCTGTGAGCTGGAAATGGGCCATCTCCCACAGCCACTGCTTGTGCCAGGCAGCTTCTCTGGGGTTTTTGCTGGGAATTTTGGAGGTGCTGATGAACAGTGTTTGGATCATCTCCTGCCAGAAGCAAATTGTCTTCTGTTGTCAGTGTGTTCATCCACTGAACTCAAACAGCCCAGGCTCTGCTGAGGGTGGATTTCAGCTGTGTGGATATTGTGACTGCCTCACACAGACCCTGTTCTTCCTGGGGCAGAGCTAGAAGCTTCCTCATTTCTGCTGGGTGCCCATGGATGGTGGGGAATGAGGAGTCCTGTTGGTTGGAGCCCAGTGCTGGATTTTCCACATTCATCCAAGGTGACAGTGTTTTCACTGTCTGTGCAGGGTCAGTGGAGGGCTCTGGTCACAGGAATCCTGGACTGCAGCCCCTGCCAGAGTATCTCTGCTGTCACAAGTCTGGGCTGCACAGAGCTCTGTCCCCTGGGCTCAGGTAGGGGTGGATGCAGGAGATCCTGCCATAATGGAATGTCACTTGAGCCATGAGATTTCTGTGCTGGTAGGAAAGTCTGGGAGATCTGGCTGAAGCTTTTCATAGTCTGTGGAAGTTTTAGTTCCCAGAACAGCTGGAAAGGTGTTCGTGCAGCCACAGCATGGGGTGAGACACACTTTGCCTGAGAACTTCTGAAAGGCAAGTCTGTGGTCTCAGTTATGTGGCCAGTTTAAAAGGACTCTTGAATTTAAAATCTTTTCTGGTTCGGCAAGAATTAGGATTTAAATTTTTTTTACCCCCCCACCACTGTGTTTATAGAGCTGAATTGTGCCACTGTCTGTGTTCTTCCTCTTCCTCAGGAAGGTTCCAGCAGGGTGGTTCCAGCACTTGCCATCAGACACGCTCTTAGAGACACAAAACTCATCTCTCTCCTTACTTTTTAATTTATTCTGACCAGTTTCTCACATAACTGTCCAATCCCTGGAAGTGTCCAAGGCCAGGTTGGACAGGGCTTGGAGCAGCCTGGGACAGTGGAAGGTGCCCCTGCCCATGGCAGGGGGTGGAACTGGATGATCTTTAAGGTCCCTTCAAACCCAAACCATTCCATGATAAATCCAGACTAGGAGTGAGCAGGACTTGTTTTCTGGGCAGCTTTGGGGCTGGCAGCTCTGCTCAGCCCATGTCTTCTTGCCCTCTAAATTCTTCCCTAGAAATGCTTTTCAGCTGAAGGAAATTCACTGACATGCCAGGTAACTGTTTGACAAACACTTCTGTTTCCTGCTTCATTCCCAAGAGGAATTTATTTTTCATTCTGAGGATCCAGCTGCTAATTATAGTAGCATATATTATTTATATATTAATAACTGAATCCTCCACCAGTACTGTTAGATGAACAAATTTTGGCAAGTCCTTTTACCTTGTGGTTCTTGTTCTGTGGGCATTCTGAGTGTGTCTCCTCCAGGAAGAACGTGGATGTGTAGCCTGATATGTCCCTTAACCCTTGTGGTCTGGGAAATGGAATAAATGCCCCTGATCTCTGTGAAAGTGAAGCAATGAGATTTGCATTCAAGGGGTATTTAAATGTTGCTTGGGAGGAACTGGCAGAAAAGGCTGTGAGCTGTAGCTCACTGCTGCCATTATTTAATAGCATTTGACTCTATAATCCTTATCACTGACTGATGTAAAGCTGAGTGCTCTTAATCTCCTGGGAAAGGTCCCTGGGGAAGCAGAGCCGTGGGATGCTCCTGCAAGGAGCTGCTCCAAGGCAGGGGAAGGATTCCTGTCCACACCACACAGTGGACAACAAGAAGTTAAGAGGTTTCTCTCTCCTGTGAAGAACTGAACGATCATCAGGCACCTGCTGTGACAGCATTTCCCTGCCACTGGCTGTGCAGTTAATCGCTTTCAGATAAAGTTGTCCCTTTTTTCAAAGGCTGCTGGTGCAGATCACGTGGGAGGGCAGGAATTCTGCTGGCCATGGGATTGTCCATGTTGGGAAGAGGCGAGATTGCTCCTGCTGGATCAAAAACCAGGCTGCATTTTTATTTGGAGTAAGGTCGAGGTGTGGGCCAGGGTCAGTGCAGTTTCCTCTGGGGGCGGTGAGCAGGTGTGTGCTGCATGCTCAGCCTCCAGGGCTTCACCCTCCCAGGGCTCAGGGGAAGGGGGGTGGGTATTTTGGCATTTGCTCTGGGCAGGGGAGCCCAGGCCGTGGGTTGGCCTGCTAACAAAAGCAGAATCCGTCCAGGATCCTTCAGGAATGGAAGCAGGGACCACTTGAGCTAAGCATTGTAAAAGTACTGCAGCTTGGCAGCCTGGAGCGAGCAGAAGGTAAAATTGCCTTTCCCCAGCCCCATCCATGCCGAGTGTGTGTGCAATTCCTCTTGGCTTACTAACAGGAACCACTGCCCTGCTGCACGTGCTTCACCCTTGGTCTAACAGCAATAACAGCACCCTCTGGCCCCAGTGCCATCCCAGTGCCACTGCCTGGGTGTTCAGGGGCTTGGCTTTACTAACTTGGACAAGTTCAGCTACTTCTCTGTGCCCAAAGTGGCCATTGAAGCCAAGGATGTAGCCAAAGTATTTGTAGAGATCCTGTGTGTCACTGCAGCTGA